GTCGTCGTCGTCGTCGTCGTCGTCGTCGTCGTCGTCGTCGTCGTCGTGGTCGGAGCCGTCGCCGTCGCGGCCGCCTCCGTCGGCGCCGCCGTCGTCGCCCGCTGGTGCGAGAGCGGCGGGGGCCCGCCGCCCCGGGCCAGATCCTGAAGGTGCCCGACCCCTCCTCCTCCGCCTCCTCCTCCTCTCCTCCTCCTCCTCCTCCTCCGCCTCCTCCTCCTCCTCCTCCTCCTCCTCCTCCTCCTCCTCCTCCTCCTCCTCCTCCTCCTCCCCCGCCGCCCCGGGCCAGATCCTGAAGGTGCCCGACCCCTCGGAGGTCAACGCCAGGCGCCCGCGGCCGCCACCCCTCCGCGTGCGCGGGCGGGACTCCGCCGTAGCCCCGCCCCTCGGTCGACAGGGCGTCGCCGTCGTGCGCGTCGTCGTCGTCGTCGTCGTCGTCTTCGGCGGCGGCGGTGGCGTCGCCGTCGTGGGCGTTGTCGTCGTCGTCGTCGTCGCCAGAGGAGCGAGGGCGAGGTACGAGGGAGGTCGAGGCATGAGGGGCGAGAGGCGAGGAATGAGGGAGGAGGTCGGTCGGACTCGCTGCAGTCTGCGCGCCGTCTTGCTGAAGGCTCTCACCCTCGGAGCCACGGGTGGCACTTACTCTTGTTCCGAACGCCACCCTCCCTTGCGAAGGGAGGGGGGAGGAGGGAGGATGCGGGGGAAGAGGGAGGGAGCGAACCCTGGATGCATCAGCGATGCTACACTACACCCTTCCGTCCCGTGTCCCCTCACAAGTCCCTGCAGGCACTCCTTTCCACTGCGGGCGACGCCTCCCTTGGATGACGAGCGCCGAGTGGACCCTCCCATTCAGGCATGACCTCGGTGTGTAAGGATTTACCTCCATCTTTCTATGTAGAAGAAGCGCAAAGAGGTAATCAGGAGGACCAAGTTCAAGGAAATATCAGCCAAGAGTCCCTCCGTGAAACGGTTAGGCTCTCCTTCCGTGTAAGGACGGACGAGTTTTGAAAAGGAGCCGACCTCCATTTTGGTAGCCGTTGCACAATCTGGAAGTCTGTGTCATAGAGATCGCCGAAGTATCAGGTGAGAGCCGCATTTCAAATAAAGCCCTCCATCCGTGTAGTTGCCTGGACATTTTGGAATGTCGGATTATTGCATGTGAGGAAATCTCAAGCGAGTGACGCATTTAGAAAAATGAGCCGCCCTCTATCCTTGTATGTGATTGAAATGTGGCAAATCCCCTGTGTTTTTGGACCCTGACCCTGCCGATCTGCGTGAGGGGTGCCACCGAAGTTTAGAAATGTGGCAAATCCTTTTTGTTTTTGCACCCTGACCTCGCCGATCTGCGTGAGGGGTGCCGTCGAATGTAAGACATGTGGCAAATCCCTCGTGTTTTTTGACCCTGACCCCGCCGATCTGCGTGAGTGGTGCCAGCAAATTTTAGAAATGTGGCAAATGCGACGTGTTATTGGACCCTGACCCCGCCGATCTGCGTGAGGGGTGCCACCGAATTTCAGAAATGTAGCAAACCAACATTGTTTTTGCACCCTAACCCCGCCGATCTGCGTGAGGGGTGTCAATTTTTACCCACCCCAGCAATTCAGACAACACGCTCAGGGCGTATAAAAAATGCCCGTTTTGGGCCTCATCCCCCTGGCGCAGTCCAGCAACAAGGACAGTAAGCAGCAAGAAGTCAACAAGGAACAGTAAGCAGCAAGAAGCAGAGCTGTAACAGTGGAAACTGGAAGCTGCAACTGGTACAGGAAACTGCGAAGCTTTGGCCTACAGCCTGGTGGCCCCACAAGGGGGCTGGCGGATTTCTATTACGGGAAATGCTTATCGGAAGACAATCGCCTGATAATCTTTTATCGTGCCAGAACATTATTTCTGGGGCTTCAGCGCGGCGAACCAACATGACTGGTGCGTCCTGGCAGTTCTAATTCGTGCCAAAACACAGTTCCTGGGACTTCAGCGTCGCGGGTCAACTTGATTGTTGCGTCCTGCCTGTCCTGAATCCTGCGCTTGAAAGACGAGCGGCCCGTGGGCTGGTCTTTCAGGCAAGAGCCCTGTTTTGAAAAGGAGCCGCCTTACGCCCCTTGAACCATCCGTTTTGTCAAGGGGCCCAGTCATGACGTTCACGAAAGTGTCAAGCGATAACCCAGGTAAAACAACAAGGAACCTCCCTGCACCCGTATAGTTCTCGGTCATGTTTCAGTTTCGGGCCGCACAAACCGAATGAATTCCCAAACGATGGCCCAATATTGACAGAGCGCCGCCGTCCATGAACCGGGACGACTTTTCGCGGCGCTTAGGCGAATGAGTACATTTTGGAGATGATTTGTCCTAGTGGTGTTTTTTTGCCAGACGCGTTTGAAACGAATGCGCTCGGCGCTAGGCTAGCGCCACAAGCTGAACATGGCCACCTCCCTATCCGTGTGATCGTTGGAAACGTTCAGGGCGAGTGCGCGTGGTGCTAAGGCGAGGGCCACATGTTGATAACCACCCGCCTCTTCCCGTGTAGCTGCTGGAAGCCCTTAAGACGAATGTGCGCACCGCTACGGCGACTTAGTAATATGCTTCAACTTTCGCGACCACGAGTTATCAGGAAGTTCCCGTCGAATCACTTGGCACTCTCTATCGGCACGTCTGGTGGTGCTGCTGGGAAGAGCCACTTGAAAGGAAGAGGGACGGAGGAGGGATGCAACAGGGTGCTGAAGTTTGAGAAGGGCGCGCGTTTGGCACTGGGCTCCGGAGAACGCGGCCAAGGCCGCAGCCGGCCCCACCCACCTTCCTCCTTGAGGACCTCCCCCCGCCCTTCGACCGCCACTTCTTCTCTTCCCTGTGCCTTCCTGTCTTGTCTCTCCTGCCCCGGCTTCTAGCCGGGGTCGGTGGGGTGCGAGTGCCATAGAGAGAGAGAGAGAGAGAGAGCCAAAGGTCAGCGGTTCGCAGCTCGCAGGAGGAGGGCCAGGGGGGGAGGCGAGCTCGGTGCGCGCGCGCCATGTCTGACCTCCTGTTGCACCGATCTGTTCTCTATCCGCCGACGGGTGTCCCGACGGACCTGGCTCCCCCAAGTGACCCCATCGCGTGATGCGCAGTCACCCAGGGGGGCTGAGTACACTGGATGGGGAGGAGGGGGAGTATGAAGCGGGCGTGCGCCCACGGCCGCGGACGCCGCCAGGCTTGTGGAGCGCTGCGACCGCGAGGTCCCCTCCGCGCTTCTTGGTGTCGGGGGCGGCGCCTCCAGCCTGAGGAAAAGGAGCGAGGAGAGGAGAAGAGAGGAGTGGAGACGAGGTGAGGAGGAGGAGGAGGAGGAGGAGGAGGAGGAGGAGGAGGAGGAGGAGGAGGAGGAGGAGGAGGAGGAGGAGGAGAGGCGGGGAGGAGGGAGGATGAGGAGGATGAGGAGGATCATGAGTAGGAGGAGGAGGAGGAGGAGGAGGAGCAGGAGGAGGAGCAGGAGGAGGAGAGGCGGGGAGGAGGAGGATGAGGAGGATGAGGAGGATCATGAGTAGGAGGAGGAGGAGGAGGAGGAGGAGGAGGAGGAGGAGGAGGAGGAGAAGGAGTAGGAGAAGGAGGAGGAGGAGGACCAGTGTGAACCTGAGACGCATCAACGCTGTTGCAATGTACCCTCCCTCCGAGCTTCTTCAGGACCGCTCGGGTATCCTCTCTGCTGATTTCAAGGCGGCCTTCCCGCCACTGGTTTTCCTGTGGACTTTTGGCTCTTCTATCGGCTATGGGTGTTCCTGGTGAAGCTTCCGGGCTCTATGAGCATCTCTCTCGGGACAAGATTGCGGTCAGTTCTAGGGGCCAGTCTCAGAGATTTTGCTGTCCGACGTGGGGCCCAGCAGGGGAGGCCCTGCTACGATGCTGCTGTCTGCGTGCGCTCTCGACCCCATCCCCGCTTGGTTCCGGGTCAAATTCACGGGTCAGGTCCCGCGGATCCGTGCCTGCGCGGGTGACATTGGCTTCTGCTTCCCCGACGTCTTCATTGATCTGCGGCCTCCCTGGTCTCTCATTATCGAAGGCGCCTACGGCGAGTCACCTTCGGCCCTTGGTCTTTTTGGAAGCGCCTATGTGGCCGAAAGTTGGGCAGAGCTATCGGATTATGTTTCCCCAACCTGTCGTTGAAACTTTTCGGGGAACAACTGAGGAAGAGGAGAAATATGATAAGAAATAATATGGAGGAGGAGGAGGGGGAGGAGGAGGAGGAGGAGGAGGAGGAGGAGGAGAAGAAGGAGCAGGACTCCTCTTGGAAGCCTCTTGGGGGCCTCTTGGAGGCCTCTTGGGGGCCTTCTTGGGCCTCTTGGGGGCCTTTTCGGGCTTCTTGGGGGCCTTTTGGGTCGTCTTAGGGCGTTCCTGGCCCGTCTGACGCCGTCGGACGCCGTCTTGGATGCCTCTCTGAACCGACTTGGGGCCCTCTTGGGGCGCTTCAGGGCCGTCTTGGAGGCAGTCTTGGGCGTCTTAGAGGCCTACTGGGCCATACCGGGGCCCTTGGGGGTTGTTTTGGGAGCCTCTTGGGCCGTCCTGGGGCCATCTTGGAGGCTTCCTGGGCGAACCTGGTGCAATTTTTGGAGCCTCTTTAGCTGTCTGGGGTCGTCGGAAGGCAGAAAAGAAGGACATGCCACAATCCTTCAAAAACCAAAGGAACGTCACCGATTTTGGCCCCTGCGGGCCTTCCTGCGAGGACCTCCTGGAGGCCTCTTATGCCTTCTGGGAAGCCTCTTAGGGGCCTCTTGAGCCGTCTTGGGCCATCTTGGGGCCATCTTGGGTCGTCTTGGGTGCATCGTGGGCCGTTTTGGATCCGTCTTGGAGTCATCTTGGGCTCTCTTGGCGCCATCTTGGCCGTCTTGGAGGCCATCTCTTGGAGGCCGCCTTAGGGCATCTTGGAGCCATCTGGGGAGGAACGACCCTTGCCAACCGCCGCGCCTGGAGCTCTCTGGGTGGTAGGCGCCACGAGCCGAGACCCCAGGAAGAGTCCTACTGACATGAACCAGCATCCTCGAAGGAATTTGGCACGCCAGGCACCCCTGCGACAAATCACCAGGGGGCGGCGGGTCGAAGACGCCTACGGCGAATCACCGCCGCCCCTCGCCTGATGAGATCACCCATGTGGCTGAGCGTTGTGGCAAGAACTCTGCCAAACTATCGGACTATGTGTTCCCCCAGCCGTTGTGGAAACCCTGCGGGGAACACTTGGGGGAGGAGGGCGGGGAAGATCAGGAGGAGGAGGAGGAGGAGGAGGAGGAGGAGGAGGGAGGAGGAGGAGGAGGAAGAGGAGGAGGAGGAGGAGGAGGGGGCATCTTGGGAGCCCCCCTCCTCCCTCCTCGCTCCTGGAACGCGCTGCCTCCAGGCGAGGGGGCCTGGGCGTGTTCCGCTCTCCCCCAGGCCCGCCTCGCGGACCAGAGGAGAAAAGAGAAGCTGGAGCAGCAGATGAAGATCAAGACCGCCCCTCGCGGCCGCCGACCCCTCCTCGTTTTCATGTGCCGTTTTTGGTTTGTTTGTCTTCTCCTGCTCTCCTTTCAGGAACCAAGAAGGGGGTGCAGGAAGGGGGGAGTTGACGATGATGATGATGACGATGATGGTGCTGCTGCTGATGATAATGATGCTGCGGATGATGATGGTGGTGATGATGATGATGATGATGATGATGATGAAGCTGGTGATGCTGATGATGATACTGGTGATGATGGTGATGATGATGATGATGATGATGATGATGATGATGATGCTGATGCTGATGCTGATGCTGATGCTGATTCTGATGATGTGATGATGTCGATGATGCTGATGATGCTGATGTTGTTGATGATGTTCCCGATGATGATGCTGATGATCATGCAGATACTGATGGTGACTTATGATGAGGACGATGCCAATGACGACGACAACGATGATGATGATGCTGATGATGATGATGATGCTGGTGATGGTGATGATGATGATGATGAGGATGAGGATGGCGATGATGGTGATGACGATGCTGGCGATGATACTGCTGCTGATGAAGATGGTGACGACGAAGCTGATGCTGATGATGATGTTGTTGTGTTGATGATGATACCGATGACCTGCTTGATGCTGATGCTGCTGCTGATGATGAGGATGATGCTGATGCTGATGATGATACTGCTGCTGATGCTGATGATGATGATGATGATGATGCTGCTGATGATGATGATGATGATGATTATGCTGATGATTATGCTGCTGCTGCTGATGATGATGATGCTGATGATGATGATGATGATGATGATGATGATGATGATGATGATGCTGATGCTGGTGACGATGCTGAGGCTGTTGATTGTGACGGCGATGCTGGTTGTGAATATGAGGAGGACGAGGAGGAGGTGGAGGAGGAGGAGGACGGAGGATGAGCAGGAAGAGGAGGAGGAGGAGGAGGAGGTGGAGGAAGAACTGGAGGAGGAGGGGGAGGCGGAGGAGGAGGAGGATGAGGAGGCGGAGGTGGAGGTGGAAGTGGAGGAGGAAGAAGTGGTCTTCCTGCCTCGCCTCCTTTCTTTCCTATCTGTGCGGGTGCTCAAGAGGACGTCTCCTATGTGTCCCTGGGGGATCTCCTACTTCCCATCCTGCCCCTCCTCCTTCTTCCGGTTCCTCCTCTTCCCCCTGTCTATCTTCCTGGTCCCCTTTTCTCCCTTGTCCCTGTCCCCCTCGTCCTCTTTCTCCTGTGCCCCCCTTCTCCTCCCCCCTCGTCCTCTGGCTGCTCCTCCTTCCATCCTCGCGGGGGACGGGGATGGAAGGGGAGAAGGGAGGATGAGTGTGAGGAGGATGGGCGATGAGGTAGGAGGGAGGAGGCATCATGCCAGGATATGACGAGGAAGCGGTGAAATACTGGAGCACTTTCATGCTTCTGGAGGGCGAAGCCAGGATGCCACGTCGGCGAACAGGTTCCTGCGTCCATGTCCTCATCGAATGTTATCGAATGGCCTTTGGCCCGTCCCGCCGCAGCGTTTTGGTTGTGGGGCAGACAGAGGTGTCATGGATGCATCAGAGGATCTCTTGGGAGTCCGCTCGGGGGCTTCTTCGGGGCCTCCTGGGCGCCCCTTGGGGCGTCCTTGGGGCGCCTGAGCCTCCCAATCGAACGGCCTGCGAAGGTTGTTGAGCAGCAGCTTGGACAGCACCGCGCTTGAGCGTTTCTTGCGTCGGTCTGGTGCGTGCACTGCTCCGAAATCCACACGAGTCGGAGGAAACTTCGAGAAGGTTGAGAGAAGTGGTGCGCCTCGCCTCGGCATTATTCCTCTTTCTTAATCTCTCGGAAGTCAGATCGTGAAGAGGGAAGATTTGCAACCTCCGTCTTACCCCATGATCGCGTTGCCGCCAGAAGCACGATGGCGCAGAGTTTGTTGGCTCTCGCGCTGGTTTCGGATGAGGCGGCGTAGGCAGAGATGGAGCAGGATCCGAGGGGCATTTGCGCGTCAGCCTCTCCGCAGGATCAGACTGGTTTTCGACAAGGACCTCGTCAAGATGACGGGGTTCTGGGAGCACACCGACGTCGCCTACGGGTCGACCCCTTTTCCACCTCGTCTCATTGGCACGCGATGGCCGTGCTGTTGTCCGTCGACTCTTCCATCCTCCTGGTCCCCCTATCGCTGTCGCTTATCTTATCCTTCCTCTGAGCCCCGCAATAGTTCTGGGGGTACGGCGGCGTTGCCTGCAGTCTAGGGGCCGCTCCCTGTGGTCCAGCGGCGGTTCGCCGTAGTTCGGGGGGGACCTGCAGTCTGGTGTCCCTAGCTGCAAATTATCAACGTTATTTCCAGTTCTTCCCACGTTCGTCTCCCTCCTCCTCCTCCTCCTCCTCCCTCTCCTCCTCCTCCCCCTCCTCTCAGCTCTTGCCGCCTTTCCCCTCGTGCTGCCGCTCCACCTGCTGCTGCAGCTGCTCCTCCTCTGCCTGCTGCTGCTGCTGCTGCTGCTGCTGCTGCTCTTCCTTTTCCTCTTCCGCCTCCGAATGCCCGTCCTGGTCGGACTCCTCCAGCTGCGCGCCCTCCCCCCTCCCCACCCCTCTGCTGCCTCCCCCACCGTCCCCCCTCCCTCTCCCCCTTCACCCCCCTCACAGTCCCCCTTCCCCGTCCAGCCTCCCCACCCCTCTGCTACCTCCCCCACCGTTCCCCCTCCCTCCCCCCCTTCACCCCCCTCACGGTCCCCGTGCCCCGTCTGGCCTCCCGCCCACATACCCCCCTCGTCAGTGCGGCGCTTTGTCCTCCCAGGCTTCCCCATGTCTCCCCTCCCTCGGCTTCCGTCGTCTGCCCTTGTCCGCCTCTGCCACTCTCTCTGCCTCACCCTTTTCTCTCCCCTCGAATATCCTAAGACCGTCAGAACCCACAAGAGACCCCCGGCCCCCCCGGGCCCCCCTGCCAACCGCTAAGAGCCAGAAGCAATCGAACAATTGCGAAGCCACTTGCTCTCCTCGCCCCCTCTGCCCCCAGCCAGGCTCGGCGGCGGGGGTACAGTGTGGGCCTCCTCCTCCTCCTCCTCCTCCTCCTCCTCCGCTTTGCGCTCTTGGCAGAGGCTACGGGAGTTACCCCCCTGCCAGACGCAAGACCGAGGAGCGCACCCAATCCGCCGGACACGTTTTGCAGCGCCCTTTGACATCCGTTCGCAGCGTCGACCACTCTGCAGCATCTCCGGGCGAGTCTCTTTGCAGCTCGACCTATCCCCCACCCCATGTATGTAAGCACATGTGAGTGACAAGGACCATGACAGCAACATGACAAAAATCATGATGGCCCTCTGTGTCCAAAGGCCGAGCATGTCAGTTCGCACAGGCCTGCACTATTCGAAAGCCCTGCCGCCGCTGAGACGTCCAGGTCGTTCTGCCTGAGACGTCGGGCCGTGGCGATTCGATCGTCGTGAGCATCAATGGCGTTCTTCTAGCCGTGGTCTTCGACTTCTCTCACACACCTACATCTTCGTGGCTACCACAAGACGCGGTCCTTCAGTTCTGCGAGCCCACGGCCGCGGTTCGAGTAACGTTGTGTGGTTGCGTCCTTTGAAGTTCTGTGTGCCTCCTGCTAGAACTCACTCGGATCCAGTCTCCTTTGACCACCATTTTTCAACCATGTAATCGAATTCGTACATGAGGCTGGCACTCTTTTGGGATCTGAGCACTATAACCAGGGACCGTGTGTGCGTTGTGCGGAGGCTCCGTGCTCCGTCTGGGGGCGGGGCTTCTTGCGCGTGTTCTGGGGCCGTCTTGAGAACCCGTTGGGCCCTGTTGGGCAGTCTGGAGTTCTACCAGGGCCCTTCCTGAGAAGTCCTGGGCGCATCTGGTGCCGCGTTGGGGCGATCTCGGGCTGTCGTTGGGGCCATTCCATGGCTGTGCGTGGGGCACGTCTTGGAAAGGAAATGGGGATCCCCAGTCGGTCTTTTGTGGCCTTCTCTGGACGAGTTTCGGCTCCTTCTGGGTGAGGTCGCGTTTCGTCTTCCATGTTTCAGCTTTTGGTCTGTACGGGTGGGTGGGTGGGCAGCAGGGGGTTTAGTCTCGCCTGCCAGGTGATGCCGATGGGGTCGAAGAGTTGGGCTTGCGAGTCAGTCGAGTGCCCTTCCCGTATTCCTGTTGGTGCTGATTCGCCGGCACGGGTGCCAAGGTGCTCACTGGCCAGGGACATTTGGACGCTTTGCATGCGAAGACGGATGGGATCCGACGCTGACAGGCTTGACGCACATAACCAAGGACCAATGGGTTCATTATTTCAGTACCCATCGGTCGTTGAGAGTAGGTATTTTTGGATCCCCAGATTTCAATCTGCTTCTGCCGCCTTCCCACTTCAGGTGTCGAGTGGCATGCCCTCGTCCGTCCTCTCTTTAGGGGGCGGGCGGACACCCGACCTGCTTTCAGCGCCTTCCTGCTTCATATTTCTGCCTACTTCTTCCGGCCGATGGGTGCGGCTCAGGGCGTCGCCCCGTTTGCGCGCCGCGCCTGACCCGGGCGCGCTCGCGCGCACGACAGGCCAGGGCGTTCGAGGGAAGCGCTGGTGCAGGTGCCTCCCATGCTTAAATCGGGCCTGTCTCTACACATGGTACGGGGACGATTTTTTGAGCATTTTTGATTATTTTTTGCCTATTTTTGAGCTTTCGTCCACAGTCCGCCTGTAGGGGGACAAGCCCGACCTAATCGCATGCCCGAGACCAGCAGATGGAACGGCGCCGACGCTCGCGGACGTCTCTGGGATGGATGTGTTCTCAAGCGCTGGGCCTGGTTCGGGTGGAACCGCCGCCCCTGCCGGGCTGACAGAGTCTGATCCAGCAGGCTGCGGAGGAGAGGGGGCGCCCTGATGTTCTTCGTGCCTGTTGGAGGTTCTTGTGCCTCCTGGGGATGGCACCCTTAGGGTCTCAAGCTCTTGAGGGATGTTCTTCTGGCCTAGGTCCAGCTGTACCACTGGGTGCTGCCGCTGCTGCTCTTGCTGGGGGAGCTCCCGTTGCTGAAAAATCTCCGCCGCCGCTGCTGCTGCCCTGCCTGCCTGCCGCCCTCCCTCGGCGCCTGCTGCCACCCTGCCTCGGCGCCGTGCTCTGGTCGGCCGACGCTCGCGGACGCCAAGCATCGCAGAGCCAGGCGGCGCCTCCTGCCTGGAGAACTGCCCCGGGCTGGCAGAAACCCACGCGGAAAAAAACTCGCCGCAGCACGTTGGGCGTTGCGTAATAGGGGGGTCATAAATGGGGGGGTGGCGAGGGTGGTCCGAAAAGGTACCCAAACGGTGCCTAAACGAGCCCCCTGGGGCTCCGGAGGGGCCCGAAAGGAGCACGAAAGGGGACCGTTTCTGACCCCCCTATTTGTGACCTCCCCATGAAGCCACGCCCAAGCACGCCTGCAGGGTCGGTGCAGTGATGATGCCTTCTTCCGACCGGTGGGCAGCAGGACCGCTTCGGGCGAGGCGGCCCTGCAGTGCGCTGCGGGTGCCGCGGGTCGGCGCCAGCGCTCCGGGCGGAAGTTACTTGCGAGGTCCCTCGGGGGTCGCGCCGACAGCGGCAAGCGCCGGGTGTGGACGGGGTCGGGCCGCAGAGTCGTTCGACCGCGTGCGTGTCCAAGCTGGGTGCCTCAGGGGCGGTGTGTGCATCTCGCTGGGGGGGTGTCCACCAATATCACAGCACGCCGTACCACGAGTCCCCGACTCTTTGGTCTGCAGGTCCTTTGGCTGCTGTGGCCAGCAACAGCTCTGGAGCGTGGTCCAGGAGTGCCCGACCCGTCGTGATTCGACGGGCTTGCCCCCCCCTTTCACCAACGCGCGTTGGGAGTACCTCGATCGAGTTGAGAAGGCCGCCAAGTTCGCATCTTAATTTAATGTGAACTACCTTCGCGACTTGTATTATCTTATCTTATCTCATCTCATCTTACCTTCCTCCCACTCCCATCCCAGGCCAGGGGAAGAGAGCCGCCGAGGAGAAGTTTCTACTGTGAAGGCCTTCCGGCTCTTGCCGCCGACACCGAAGGCGGGGTCTCCCCGGGGACCCCCGCCGGCGGCCCCCCCCCCTGGGGGGACCCGCCTGGACTCGGGGGGGGGGGTGGTATTCGGACCGGGGACCACCTTCCCCCACCCCGGGTGGGACCCCCTCTCCGGACCCCCCTCCAGGACCCCTCCCCCCCCGCAGGGGGGTCGTCCCCTGCCCTCCTTGTCCACAGGGGGGGCCGGGGAGGGGAGGGGGGACCCGTGCCCCCTCCCCCCCCGCCCCCTCCCCCCGTCAGGGAGGGGAAACGGGGAGGGGATCGGCTTGACTACTAGCCGGGCGCTCTGCGGTTGATCGGGGGTTTCCTGGATCTGGGAGAAGGGGCGTGCGCTTCTCGGCGGGGGGAAAATGATCGAGATGAGAATGAGCGTGAAGATCAGGAGGGCGAGGCTCGCGAGGGGGAGGATCAGGAGAGTGAGGGGTCATGCGGGGGAGGATCAGGCGAGCGTGGAGCAGATTGATAAGGATGTGGAGAAGGAGGGCCAGGAGAGCGAGGATGGCGAGAATGATAATCAGGAGTGTAAGGATCGGGCGGGCGTGGCGCCCCCCGCTGCCATGCTGGCAATCTCCACCTCCTCCTCCTCCTCCTCTTCCTCTTCTGCCTCCTCCAATTATCCTCGTCCTCCTCCTCTCTCTCCTCCTTGTCCTCCTCGTCCTTCGCCTCCCCCCAGGGATTTTCCCGATCTTTCCGGAAACGGAACAGGGGGGCCTCACAGCGCTCCGGGGACGGTTTCCAGAGGATGTCCCACGCGAGGTCGCAGATTTGGAATTCCTCGCCAGACTTGCCTGATCTCGCCGGATTTCCCGAGTCTCGCCAGAAACGGAAGCCTCCTTGGGGAGGCTCCAGGAGCTGGTTTCTCTGAGGATGACAGACGCGCGAAGTTGCTGGTTAGGAATTCGTCGCCAGATTCGCCGGGTTTCCCAGATCTCGCTGGAAACGAAACAGGGGGCTTCTGAGGGCCTCCTCGGGGGGGCTCCAGGGCCGGTTTTTCCGAGGATGTGCCACGCGAGGGCGCCGGTTTGGAATTCGTCGCCAGATTTGCCGGGTTCCCTCGATTTCGCCGGAAACGGAACAAGGGAACCTCTGAAGGGCTTCGGGGAGGCTCCAGGGGCCGGTTCTTCTGACGATGTCCCACGCGAGGGCGCTGGTTTGGAATTCTTCGCCGGATTTTCTGAGGATGTCCCACGCGAAGGCGCCAGTTTAGAATTCGTCGCCAGATTCGCCGGATTTCGCAGATCTCGCCTGAAATGGAACAGGAGGGCCTCTGAGAGCCTCGTTGGAAAGGCTCCAGGGGCCGTTTTTTCTGAGGATGTCCCACGCGAGGGCGCCAGTTTGGAATTCGTCGCCGGATTTTCTGGATTTCGCTGTATTTCCCGGATCTCGCCTGCAAAGGAACAGGAAGCCTCGTTGGGAAGGCTTCAGGGGCCCGTTCTTCTGAGGATGTCCCACGCGAGGGCGCCAGTTTGGAATTCGTCGCCCGATTCGCGGGATTCGCCAGATTTCCCCAGATTTCCCAGATCTCGCCTGAAAAGGAACAGGAGGGTCTTTCGAGAGCTTCGTTGGGGAGGCTCCAGGGGCCGGTTCTTCTGAGGATGTCCCACGCGAGGGCGCCAGTTTGGAATTCGTCGCTGGATTCGCCGGATTCGCCGGATTTCGTCGGATTTCCCCGATCGCGCCTGAAAAGGAACAGGAGGGCTTCTGAGAGCCTCGTTTGCAAAGCTCCAGGGGCCTTTTTTTTTGAGGACCTACGCGAGGGCCCCTGTTTGGAATTCGTTGCCAGATTCGCGGGATTCGCCGGATTTCCCCAGATTGCCCGGATCTCGCCTGAAATGGAACAGGAGGGCCTCTGAGAGCCTCGTTGGGGAGGCTCCAGGGGCCGGTTCTTCTGAGGATGTCCCACGCGAGGGCGCCCGTTTGGAATTCGTCGCCGGATTCGCCGAATTCGTCGGATTCGCTGGATTTCCCCGATCTCGCCTGGAACGGAACAGGGGGGCGGTGGGCGGGGCCATTGCCTCGCGCGCTGGGGGTCACGATGACGTGCTCTCCGCAGAAACATCCTCAAACGACTTTTCGTTCTTTTGTTCGTTTCTAAATTTCCTTCGGACTGGCGACGACAAGATTCGGTCTACATTTTCTACCCTCGAGGAGAAGCCTGTCCTCCCCTGTCTCCTCGCAGGCACACGCTCAAGATGGGCCGGGACCAGCTCTTCAAGGATTTGGCCGCAGAGGTGGAGACGATCACGGAGGCCGCCTCCTCCGCTTCGGAGCGCTTGTCGGGGAGATGCAATTTCCGCCGACGAGGAGGAGCGTCGCTGTCGAAGAGGGGCCGTCTTCGAATTCTTGAGCTCCTCATTTCTTTGACCGACTCCCCCTCCCCCGTCGGCACATCATCGAATCACACGCCTACGGTGCGGGCCAGCGCAGAGGCTGAAAAGCCCCCCCAAATGGTGTTGATGCGAGAGGAGGAGGAGGAGGGGGAGGAGGAGGAGGAGGAGGAGGAGGAGGAGGAGGAAAAGGCGGAGGAGGAGGAGGAGGAGGAGGAGCAGGATGACTTGTGTAAACCCAAGACGCAACAACAATGTTGCAATAGTTGCACCCTCCCTCCAAGTTCCCTCCCCATGGTTCCCTACGAGAGTTTTTCATCGTGGGAAGTGCCCCATTGGACGACAAACGTCAGAGAATCGTCAATCGTTCCAGAACACAAGTCCTGGGATGTCAATTCCGCGAATCAGTGTGACTGTTGCGTCCTGACAGTCTGAGATCGTACCAGACCACCATTCCTGCCACTTTCACACCGCTAAGGAACGTGACTGTTGCGTCCTGAGAATTCTAAATCATGCCAGAACGCCATTCCTGGGATTCCGACCATATGAATCCTTCAACCTATTGCAAGCTGTTGAAACGAGCGTGCGCGGCGCTTGAGACTGTTGCGAACTTTCGAGACGAACGCGTGCGGCGCTAAGGCGAGAGCAACATTGCAACAACACCGCCTGCCCTCCATCCGTGAAGTTGCTGCAATTTTTCAAGACGAGTATGCGCGGCGCGAAGGCGAGAGCAACACTTTGGAAGCGACCAGTCATCAATCCGTGAAGCTGTTACAAAATCTCTTGAAACGAATGCACGCGGCGCTGAGGCGAGAGCCACGTTTTGAAAGCCACCCGCCCTCCATCCGTGTAGCTGCCGCAACTTTCGCTCAAGCTTCAGGAGAAGTCTCACGCGAAGCGCCTGGCCCGCCCTGCCGTCACGACTGGGGGTGCGACAGGGAGGGGTCACTTGTAAAGGGAAGGGATGGAGGAGGAGGAGGAGGAGGAGGAGGAGGAGGAGGAGGAGGAGGAGGAGGAGGAGGAGGAGGAGGAGGAGACAACACGACACTCCCAATAGTGATCAAATTGGTTACCACCCCTGTGACAGGGTATTTGCAGTTTTCATTATTGAGACCTCGAAAGGACCCCAGGACACTCCACTTCGTGCGTCGAGGCGCAGTGGCGGATTATCAGGAGAAATCGCACCATGCGATGCTCGACACAGAGGTATGATCGTAATGTCCAGCCAACCACCAGCCCACCTCCTCAAATGGCGTGCGATAGGTGCTGTAAGCTGACGCTGAGATCTTATCCGCAGGCCAGAGGCTTGCTCACACGCAACACGGGCGAGCGATTGAAATAAATATCAGCGGAGTAAGCACCCACGAGCAGATGTGAGACACAGGCCATGGTGGCCCCAGCACCAACGGGCGAGCGTGACAAAGGAGGCGGAGGAGGCGAGAGGGGCGGCGAGAGCTCCGGCCCTGGAAAGAGGAGGCTGCGCGCGCCTTCTCGGAGGTGCCCCGCGCCCACATGGCTATCTTCTCGCTGTATTACCGGAACAACCCCCGGCAGGCCCCGCTCCGCTTTTCTGGCCCGCCGCCGGAGGAGGAGGAGGAGTACAGTCGAGACTGATTAGTAGGTCGACCCTGCCAAGTCGAGGGTACCCTTGTGCCCTGCGCTTCGCGACCCATGCCTTCTTACATCTCTATGGCATTGTGGCCCTCGGAAGGGTCTTGTGTCCTTTTTCGCGTGTCCTCTCCAATCAGCCCCGACTGTAGGCGGATGGTGGTGGTGGTTATGCTGCTGCCGATGTTGCTGCTGTTGATGGCGATGATGATAGTGATTGTGGCGATGATGGTGGTGATAATGCTGCTGATGATGAGAAGAAAAACGATTACGAGGAGGAGGAGGAGGAGGAAGAATAATGCCGTTGTACAGTTTCCCCTCCCGCTTGTACTTTGTATGAGCCCGCGCACGCGTTCCCGCGTGCTGGGGACGCGAACCGCCTCCTGGCACGAAGGTGCGCACGCCTCTCTCTCAGCGCTCGCGTCTCGCAAGTTATACTCTTGTCCTTTTGTTAATGCGTTACCATCCGGACTCATGACGGAATTCCAATACGGTGACAAGCGCCAAGGGTAGTGTCATAACAGTTGCATTTTTTTGACACGGAAGCAACATCAGGACGAATACTATCAAGAATCTTCAACAATGCGTTCACCCGAGCAAACACAACCTCAGTTCGTGTTTCCCCATTCCGAGCGATACATCATCTGGGCTCCCGAGGAGATCCCAGGCGCTCTCCTACTTTCAGAGTCGGATTCATGTAACACGATGACGAGGGTGGCGTCAGGAGAATTTGGCGACCCCTTCGACCCGAGGAGGGTATAAGCGGGCGATTGTGGAAAAGTATCTTCAGTTGGCAGGTGAGGAGCCCCATGCCGTATTTCAAACGATCGTCACTGTGTATGGAAAAGAATTCTTCACGCTTCGCGTATCCCCACCAGCCCATCTCAAAACAGCAACTCTTGCGAAGCATGCCGACAGTCGTGTTTTTCAGGCGTGTTTCCGCCTGCCCCCGCATCTCTCCCCTGTTCCTCCTTCCTCCCGCCTCCTTGTACATCCTCCTTGTGGTGGGAGCGGGAGAAGGACGAGGCGGAGGAGGAGGGAGAGAAAGCGCTCCTCGTGGTTTGAGTCGTTTGGGGTTTCTCGTCCTGGTGTGAGTCGTTCGGGCCCTTCTTCCTGGTGTGAGTCGTTCGTGGTGTGAGTCGTTCGGGCTTTCGTGGTGTGAGTCGTTCGGGCTTCTCGTGGTGTGAGTTGTTCGGGCCCCTCGTCCTGGTGTGAGTCGTTCGGGCCCCTCCTCCTGGTGTGACTCGTTCGGGCTCCTCGTGGTGTGAGTCGTTCGGGGCCCTCGTCGTGGTGTGAGTCGTTCGGGCTCCTCGTGGTGTGAGTCGTTCGGGCGCCTCGTCCTGAGTCGTTCGGGAGGGAGCCTCTTGGGAGCCTCTTGGAGGCCGTTTGGGGCGTCTTGGGGGCCTCTTGGCGGCCCCAGGGGCTTCCAGGAGCGTCTTGGGTGCCTCGGGGGAGCCTCTTGGGGCCTCTTGGGGGCCTCTTGGGGGCATCTTGGGGGCCTCTTGGAGGCCTCTTGGGGCCTCTTGGGGCTCTTTGGGAGGGGTCTGGGAGGTATCTTGGGCCCATCCTTCGGGCGATCGATCACAGCTGGGGCGAGCATTTTTGTTATTACCCCCGTCGGGGCCACAATCCTCGTGAGGGGTGTCGAATCTTAGCCCTCCCAGGAGTCGAAAAAGGACCCTCTGACCACCCGCGAACCCCCCTCTCCAGGTCCAGGGGGGGGGTAGGGGGAGGGGTAAACCCCTCCCCGAAAGGGAAGAAGGGGGGTTGAGAACAGAGAGAGCTCGCTAAACCACTCACGCCCAAAGGGCTGGTGGGATTAGTAGTGGTAGTAGTAGTAGTAACAGTAGTAGCAGTAGTAGCAGTAGTAGTAGTAGTAGTAGTAGTAGTAGTAGTAGTAGTAGTAGTAGTAGTAGTAGTAGTAGTAGTAGTAGCAGTACCAGTAGGAACAGTATTAGTAGTAGTCGTAGTAGTAGTAGTAGTAGTAGTAGTAGTAGTAGTAGTAGTAGTAGTAGTAGTACTAGTAGTAGTAGTAGTAGTAGTAGTAGTAGTAGTAGTAGTAGTAGTAGTAGTAGTAGTAGTAGTAGTAGTAGTAGTAGTAGTAGTAGTAGTGGTATTACCAGTATCAGCGGTAGTAGCAAACGTAGTCGTCAACGTCGTCGTCGCAGTAGTTGTCTCAGTAGCAGTGGCAGTCACTAGAGCAGTGGTCTATATGGAAGTAGTAGTAGTAGTAGTAGTAGTAGTAGTAGTAGTAGTAGTAGTAGTAATAGTAGTAGTAGTAGTAGTAGTAGTAAGTAGTAGTAGTAGTAGTAGTAGTAGTAGTAGTAGTCGTAGTAGTAGTAGTAGTAGTAGTAGTAGTAGTAGTAGTAGTAGTAGTAGTAGTAGTAGTAATAGTAGTAGTAGCAGTAGTAGTGATGGTAGTCTTAGTAGTAGTAGTAGTGTAGTAGTCGTGGTAGTAGCAGTAATAGGACTAGTAGTAATAGTAGAAGTAGTAGTCTTAGTACTAATAGCAGCAGTAGTAGTAGTCCCAGTAGTAATAGTAGCAGTAGTACTAGTAGCAGTGGTAGTGGTAGTACTAGTAGTAGTAGCAGTAGTAGTAGTAGTAGTAGTAGTAGTAGTAGTAGTAGTAGTAGTAGTAGTAGTAGTAGAACTAGTAGAAGTAGTAGTAGTAGCTAGTAGTAGAAGTAGTAGTAGTAGTAGTAGTAGTAGTAGTAAGTAGTAGTAGTAGTAGTAGTAGTAGTAGTAGTAGTAGTAGTAGTAGTAGTAGTAGTAGTAGTAGTAGTAGTAGTAGTAGTAGTAGTAGTAGTAGTAGTAGTAGTAGTAGTAGTAGTAGTAGTAGTAGTAGTAGTAGTAGTAGTAGTCGTAGTAGTAGTAGTAGTAGTAGTAGTAGTAGTAGTAGTAGTAGTAGTAGTAGTAGTAGTAGTAGTAGTAGTAGTAGTAGTAGTAGTAGTCGTAGTAGTAGAAGTAGAAGTAGATGTCTTTTGGGAGCCTCTTGGAGGCCTTTTGGGGCGTCTTCGGGGCCTCTTGGCGGCCCCAGGGGCTTCTAGGAGCGTCTTGGGTGCCTTGGGGGAGCCTCTTCGGGCCTCTTGGGAGCCTCTTGGAGGCCGTTTGGGGCGTCTTGGGGGCCTCTTGGCGGCTCCAGGGGCTTCCAGGAGCGTCTTGGGTGCCTCGGGGGAGCCTCTTGGGGCCTCTTGGGGGCCTCTTGGGGGCATCTTGGGGGCCTCTTGGAGGCCTCTTGGGGCCTCTTGGGGCTCTTTGGGAGGGGTCTGGGAGGAATCTTGGGGCCATCTGTCGGGCGATCGATCACAGATGGGGCGAGCATTTTTCTCCCTCCCCCCGTCGGGGCCAGAATCCTCGTGAGGGGTGTCGAATTTGAGCCCTCCCAGGAGTCGAAAAAGACCCCTCCAACGACCCGCGAAACGCCCTCTCCAGGCCCAGGGGGAGGGGGTAGGGGGAGGGGTAAACCCCTCCCCGAAGGGGAAGAAGGGGGGTTGAGAACAGAGAGCTCGCTAAACCACTCACGCCCAAAGGGCTGGTGGGACAAACGATCGTCACTGCGTATGGAAAAGAATTACCACGGAATCTGTACGTCGACACCGAGGCAATCGAAACCCTTTGCATCGACATGTCGGCTGCTGTGGGGAAGCCGAAGTGTGCGTTCTGTCTCCTTTTGCTTCGGAAGCGGATCCTGAGTCATTCGAGACAGCAGAGCTGCCCGAGCGGAACGACGCCCGATGCGTGGGGACACGATCTCCCAGAGCTGGCGCCGGAGAGGTGGTTTGTTTCCTCTGGCACGGTACGGGCGATTTTTTCCGCCCAGCGTGCGTTCTCACGCGTCGAGGACGGCGCGGGGGGAAAACCATGACTTAATTAACTTCATTTTTTTTTTTTTTTTTTTTTTTTTTTTTGAAATAATGATCTCTCTGGAAATTAACATGCGTCTCTGCAGTTTTGACTCTGATAACATTTGACTGGCTCTTGGAAAAAATAACTTTTGCATTGAGGCAGACTCTCGATTCCGGAACTTCGCATTGGCGGGTCGGAGGGGGAAAGCAGGTTTTGCCTGGTACCCTCGCGGTCTCTGGCGCCTGCAGCACCCAGCCCCCCAGAAAAGTCCGTGATGGGTGGATCGGTGGCCGGCATTCCCCGGGAGCGTGCGCCGGCGCCGGCGGCTCTGCCGCTGGGCCTCTTCGTTTCCGTCCACCGGTGCTGCGCACCGCGCACCAGGCCACCCCTGCTTAAGCCGAAGGCTTCAGTCTGCCCTCCATCTTCAGTGGGGGGGGGGGGGGGGGTCGGGGAACATTGAGAGACACTGGGCTTCTTCGTTTCCGTCCACTGGTACCGCGCCGCGCACCAAGCCACCCCTGCCCAACTCGAAGGCTTCAATCTGCCCTCCATCTTCAGTGGGGGGGGGGGTCGGGGCACATTGAGAAAGACACACATGGAGCCCGTGCCCCCCCGAACCCGAAAGTCGGGCCAAGTTCGGGTCTTCGGGTTGGGTGGGGGTGTCCTGCTAGGTAGTCAGTAGCATCAGACTCGGTGGCACAGTGGAAGGGCGATCTCCACCGGGCCCTAGGGCTCCCTGGGTCCCGACCGTGGAACGGAGAAGGGCTGCTGGAACGCAGGCGCTCACTCCATCCCTAATCAGTTCCGACAGTGACAGGTCCAGGGGTGATCGGCATGACTCCAGTACGGCGAGTGACAGGAGGCAGAAATCCGCGGCTCTATTCGTGATCCCTTTCGTAAGCGCAATATCGATGATCGAGCGATGCTGGATGCCGACCCCAGAGTGCGCAGCGAACGCGGATAGTCGCCGTCCAGGAAGTTCGGGCCGATGCCGGAGACCAGTCTGTTATGCGCGTTCGCAGGTATGCCAGCATCCCAGTGCGAATGAGCTCTGCGACGAGTGTTTCCCGCGAGAACGACCTCATTGCCTGGGGGTCAGG